GTCAAGACCCTTTATCTCAGGAACGCGTGGAGGTATCGAGCTGAAATTAAAACATATACTCAAGTCTAAGATCCCTTGAAGTTGTGTAAAAATCAAATTTATAAGTTAACGCAAAAAAAAAAGTTGCGGCCGTTAATGTTTGTACCTACAAATTTGTACGGAACCCTCGGTGGGCGAGCCCGATTCGCACTTGTCCGATTTTTTTGATATTTAAAACTCAATTCTATAAGCACATAAGAAAATATTCTCGAAATACCCACTATGAGGATAGGTAAACAAAATATCTTTTTTTTCTGTTATACAAAGTTTTAAGCGGCCATTTTTTCATTTTAACACTAACCAACTCAGTATTTATCGACAATGTTTGTACTTACACTTCGTTATTGAGCCACATGATATTGTGAACTTTATATGTTGTCTGAAGAGCATAATTATAGGCTTCTGGGCCCGTGATGCCTTTCAACTCCAAAATCCTGTGAAAACAGTTTTAAATTAATAAATAAAACTTACAAATAAAGAGATGAAAATGTGTATGTTTGTTAGAGATCAAATGCTTACTTTTTGATGTTTGGTACAACAGTCATAACTCGGTGACAGCTGGACCTTGACATCAACATTTCAGAAACCGGGGAATCGGATTTTGTATTCATAGGTATCATTTGTCTGAAAGTAACAAATCAATTAGAATGACTAACTTATGTTTATTGAAAGGTGTATTTTGATTAATTTAATAATTTGTGGATATTTACACCGACTCCCCTTCAGTGTTCTCTTGGCCGCCAGGCGTAAGTCTCAGCATCACAATTCTCACTGGCAGAACTAGATCAATTTTGAAAGTTTCCTCGTCATTGCTGAAAATTAAGAAAGAAAAGTTATTAAAATCTCGACGGCCCAAAAATATAGACAATATCTTAGATAAGTGACAATATAGACAAAACTTACATTTCGTATATTCTTCCCAAAATATAACCCCGGCCTGGTTGTGTTTCGGAAAACTACTGCCGAAACTTTTCCTATGCTTACAACGACCCTCTTGCCCGACAAATGACGGATGATTGCGTATTGTACAATTGCAATAATTACAGTTCGTACATCTTTTACTGGCCATTCTTTTGGAACTTGAATCTCCGAAGTTAGCTGCTGATATTCGCTCATTTTTCTAGACTCTGAAAACTGTTTTGAAGACATTGAAATAAAATCCAAATAAATCTTGCATGCTCGTATAAACATATATGTATAATTCATTATTAACAAGTAATAATTACCGTAGCGCTGTAACTGTGTTTACGACGGACTCGCACGAGCGACGAGTCGGGAGTTATTTATACAGGGTGGCGCAGAAAGACCGAAGTGGTGTGAATTCCTTATTACCTTTTTTGTTATAATTTTTTCTTTCTTTTCTTTTCAGTATTTTGTAGAGAAGACTTGGACAATTTATAATGAAGCAATACAGAACTGAACAACGTGCCCAAATCGTTTCTTTTCAAATCAACGGTCCATTGTGTTGACTCAGCGTGCATACATACCGTCGTCAATTTAATGTGCGGGTTCCACCCTCTCAGTCCACAATAAACCGTCTTGTTGCAAATTTTCGACAAGAAGGAGCAGTGAGGAAACTTCCTGGTGCTGGCAGACGACGAACGATGCACACGGATGACAATATTGAACTGGTACAGGAGAGTATTCGGGAGGATTCAGAAACATCAACCAGGAGACGTTCGACACAACTTGACCTCTCAAGAAGGTCGCTGCAGCGAATTTTGCATACAATAACAATGTTTCCATACAAAATTCAACTTGTCCAAGAGTTGAAACCGACAGATTACCAGCAACGACTTGATTATGCAATTTATTTCCAGCAAAAAGCACAAGAGAATCCTAATTTTATTCATAACTTAGTTATGAGTGACGAAGCCCATTTCCAAATAAATGGGTTCGTTAACAAGCAAAACTGTAGGATATGGGCTACAGAAAACCCGAGAGTACTTCATCAACGACAATTACACCCAGTTAAGTGTACTGTTTGGTGCGGTGTTTCTTCAGAAAGGATCATTGGCCCATATTTTTTTGAAAATTAACGAGGTGTCGCCCTTTCTATCAATGGTGATCGATATCGGGCCATGTTGGAAAATTTTGTAAGGCCAGCAGTGGAAAACCATCCGCAAATATGGTTCCAACAGGATGGAGCCACAGCGCACACTGCGAGGGCCACAATGGCTCTTTAACGCAACATCTTTGGTGAAAGAATAATTTCGCGTAGAAGCAATTTTATTTGGCCTCCGCGTTCACCGGATTATCCATTATATCTTTGTCGCCTTTTTTGAAAACGGGTTTTATAACAGATACTTTTAATTTTTCGGGAAAAATACCTTCAGAAAATGATAGATTTACTAAATAACATATTACTTCAGATATTACAAGTGCACAATATTTTAAAATGCTAGTAGGTAGTTCATCATATCCCACTGAAGGGGTATCGTTTAATGATCTTATTATTTTAAATATTTCGTCGGATGTAGCTGGATAGAGAAAAATGCTTGCGTCAAGAGATTTAACATTGTTGAGAAATATCGAATTTGAATGTAATGATTTTATTTTAAATGTCATGTTAGTAAAAAAAATATTAAAATTATTTGCAATGTCAATACAATTAGTAACAGAGATGTTACCACACATTATTTTGCTTAAATACTTATTATTTTTATTTATTTGTTCATATGATTTTATTAAATTCCATGTTTTCTTTTACAAACATTCATTCTTTTACAAACATTTTTACTTTTCCTAAGGCTAGCCTCGTTTGTCAACTGTCGCGACTTATTTATACAGTTTTTTAATAAGCGGGAATAGTTTCTATATTTGTTTTTATTGTAATTGCTAGGATTTTTATAATATTTGAACCTAAGTTTTTTTTTCGATACGCAAGATAGTTTCAAACCACCAGTTATCCATCTGTTATTATTAAACTTATCGGAGATCTTTATTTTACATATAGGAAAACATAAATTAAAAAACAAAATTAAAGTTTCATGAAATGAATTCAATGCCGTATTTAAATAAATCACTGGCTTCATATACCTCGGACCACCGAAGATTTGATATAGTATTTGCAAACTTTACTTTATTCTCCAAACTGAAATCTCTTTTATATGTGCATATTGTGCTTTAATTTCTTTTTGCTTATTTTGGATGTTGAAGCTTAGTGTTTGACCTGTGTCATGATCCGATAATCGGTAACTGATAACTGGTCCCGTTGTTCGGAGTCTCGATCCATGACTAAGTATGATTAGACCTCATATCAGTAATAGGTATGTGGTAACCTTATAAATACAAATCAACCGTGTTTACAAAAGGGCAAACTAAAAGGTTATCTAGTTTGGGAATTTGCGTGTGTTAATAATTGTTCTATTATTATCACCATGGAGCATTGAGTTGATAACTATGTTTAAATGTAATAATTGGTAATTCCAATATTTTATTAGATTAATTAGGAGTAATTGAAATTCCCAATTAATTCGAAGCCCATTGTCATGATTAGAACTGCATAAAAGAAAATCATGGTAATAGGCACTTTGAGAGTAATCTTATCTATATCCTGACCCAATAAATAAATTAATTAATTTTAATTTGTGCTGTAGGCAGATATGAGTACATATGTTTACCCTGCTTAAACAATCCTATTGGGAGAAGAAAGTCTAATAGGAAAATTGCATCGGAAATTTCCTATTGAATCCTATTGAAGGTTTTTTTTTCCTATAGAAATTTACTGAATCCTATTCAATTGTCCCATTGAGGTACGCTGAATCCTATTCAATTTCCCAATAGGATTTAATGCTATTGAATGGGAAAATTGTTGTCTCAGAATTTCCTATAGAATAATGAAGAATCCTATTCAATTCTTCAATAGGATTTTAATAAATTTAATAGGACTTGTGAGATTACAATTTCCCCATTGAAAAGAGGCAATTCCTTTTCGATGTTTTAATAGGATTTGATATAATTCAATGGGAATATTGTTGTCTCAGAAGTTTCTATAAAATCAATAGGACTAAATATAATTTAATAGGTTTTTTAGATGTAACGAATTCCTATTCGATATGTAGAAATCCTTTTCAACTTTGCAATAGGATTGGACGATATTTATTGGGATTATAATGCCGTCGCAATTTCCTATCAAATAAAGCGTAAACCTATTGAACGTCTCAATAGGATCTTATTACCACAAAAAAAAATCAATTTCAGCGAAACGAAATTTTAATTCACTCTAGAGGTTTTTCATTTATACGGATTTTTAATAGAACTCATTTCTATATTCTTCTATTATTAAAATAATATGACATAGAAAATATTTCTTTACTATCGGATATTCTAATACGATTTTGAACATTTAAATAGGCCCAATATCTTTATGTTTCTATAGGATATAAATAGATTAAAAAACAAAATACGACTTAGTATTTTTTAGTGACAATATTCCTTAACAAGACTTAATATTTTTTTACACAGATGTTTTCTCTAAGTTTCTATAGGGAAATAAATAGATTAAAAAGAGAAATGTGACTTAGAGAATATTCTTTCATCGCGATACTCCCCATTAGAATTTCTCTATCCAATTAATACAATGCTGAGAACAAGAGAAAAGGTATAGACTACTAAATGTTAGAGGAGTTCAAACCTATTGAAGAATGCAGAATCCTATTGAGGTTTTTTAGATAACCAAAATAATTTCAAAGTCGTATTTCCCTATTCAATCACTTAGTTTCCTATTCAAATTTTTACCTTTAATTCCCATAGAAGCTCTTCGTTTCTTATAGAATTGCTAAATGTCTTTTAGAATTGGTATAATCCTATTCAGTTATGTGAATAGGAAAGTTCTGAATCCTATAGGTTTTACGACCACCATTTTTATACCTATTCACATTTGTATAATCCTATTAGACTTTTTCGGGTGGCAGAAATTTCTCAACTTTTCCTATTCAAATATGATGTTTCCTATTTAAATTCTGGAAAAGCCTATAGGTCCATTAAGCCTCTTAAGAGCTAAATGTCCTGATGTTCCGATTGTTGCCTTGACAGCTACTGCAGCAAAAGAGGTTTGAATTAAAACTCTATAGTTCAAAGTATCAAATTCTTTTTGTCATGAAAAATAAAATTTATATTTTCATGATTATAACAGGTTGTCGAGGATATATTTTCAAGTTTAAATATGAAAGATCCTTTAATATTTTCTGCACCAGTATTTCGAGAAAATTTATTCTATGACTTATGGTTTACAGATACAATAACAAAACCATTAGATCATTTATTAAATTTTATTATTGAAGCACTTGCTTCTTCAGACGACAGTTCTTTGCCGAAAAATAACAAAAATTGTGGAATTATTTATTGTCGTAAAAAAGAAAGTACTGAAGATATTGCAGAACGATTAAGTAAAGCAGGAGTTCCTACACGCCACTTCTCAAATTCTATCTAAATATCTTAACATCTATAACCGCCGACACCCTCTTTGTATTCCACTGATCTTGAAAAATAATTTGATCGTTAAAAATCGTTTTAAATTTTTTTGTTGAAAATCGTTTCAAAATTAACAAACGTAAACGGCACATACTTACAATCAGTTATCCGGGTCTATGGCGAGGTCGTAGCGCCGGGCCACAACATCTTTGGCATTCCTGCACCCGTATAGGTAGTAGTCAAAGAAGTAGGTGTTGATGGCTTCTTTGTCTAACCTAATTTCCTCTTGTTCTTCCGATGGCCCCCAGCTAGAGGCACCATCGAATTCATCGGGTCTCTTGACGGGATCCAAATGAAGCCTCTGCATGATGGGCTCGCGGCCGTCTTGGTTATAGTACACACGATTCCAGATTAATTCATGGTCACGACTCACAATGTTTAGTTTATTGAGTTCGTGTTTGAGCATTATCTTCCACTTTTCATGTCCATAATCGGCTTCAAATCTAAATTTTTGTTCATACACCTTTCTCATAGCCAACTCACATTCTATTGCAGCCCTTTTAACACATGTCACTTCTTCATTACCCCGAGTGGCCCAGGTAAAAAATGGGAAGGTCCGCACGAAATGGTAGTGATCATGCATTAATCGACGTATCTTTTCATGATAATTACAGAAACGGCCTTTTTTTGTTAAATTATCACACTCCAAATCCCGGTAAATGAATGCCTCGCACGGCCGTAAATTTTTTACGGTTAAGTCAGCCGAGAAATAATTAATTTTTTGCTGATTTTTCATCACAGTTTGTTCATCACAGCAAATATCAAACATTAGCCACATACACCGCACAATGTACTTTATAAATTTGAAAAAGGTGTTTATCACAAACTGAAACATTTTTGAATAGTTGCTTTATTGCTTTAAACTCTGTGAAAGCCTTTTCGCTACTAATGCTCTTTCATTAAATTAATCATCTAGAAAAAATTCACGATGTTCAGTGCGCTTCTTAAAAGATCATATGACCATGATGATAAGAGATGTGTTGATCGTCAACAAAAAATGCTGATGGTCATGCGTTTCTGTATATATCTCTTAAAACTTTTATAACATAAAAATAATAGTCGCTTCTGATTAGGGACTAATAATTATGGATCCTCGCTGGAAACATCCCTGGACTTCAATTATTTGTGGTCCTACAGGGTGCGGCAAAACTGTTTTTGTGAAAAGGTTCATTCGTACTATAAATCAAATGAGTGATACGCGCTTCTCAAAAATTATATTTCATTATGCTGAATGGCAAGAGAGTTATCATAACTATCCAAAATTTCTACCCCTTCAATTTAAAGAAGGACTACCATGTAGCGATGATTACACGTCCGATCACACGCCAAAATTAATTATCATTGACGATCTTATGCGCGAATCATCAAGTAGTGCAATTATTGACCTTTTTACGAAGGGCAGTCATCATCGTAATTTGAGTGTTATATTTATAACATAAAATTTATTTCATCAGGGAAAAGGCCAACGAGACATTTCTTTAAATGCTAACTATATTGTAATTTTTAAAAATCCCCGGGACCGCTCACAGATCCAACATCTGGCCCGGCAAGTGTGTCCAGAAAACACCCGCTTTTTCCAAGAAATATATTATGACGCAACAGCTCAACCGCATGGCTACTTATTGCTAGACTTGAAACAATCAACACCTGAAAATTGTCGTTTCCGCACATGTATTTTTCCAGAGGACCCGAAGCACTATGTTTATGTGCAGCGTAAACCTATAAATAAGAGCCCACATGCTCGTAATTTACCAGTTGTTAGTTAGTAATGGCTGCGAATGCATCACGAAAGAAACAAGCTGCAATTCTCAGTTCTTTATTTTATCTAAGCAAAGAACAACGTGCCGCTATATTACGGAAAGCTGATCCTCAACTAGTGCGCTATATATGTGAATGTGCCCTTAATATTTTACGGGGCAACGTGTCATTGACAGCTGATCAGAAACGTAAATTAAAGCGACACGCTTCTCTTTTACGGCGTCTAGCTTCACGTGGTAGTGCCAAGAGGAAGAAGAAAATCATTTTACAGAAAGGGGGTGGTTTTTTACCAGTTCTTTTGGCACCTATTCTCGGCAGCTTAATATCAAAGCTGATTAACGGCTGAAAATGAATCATGCTAAAAAAATGGTTTTAATACCTGAAGAGACTATAAAGAATTTTCAAGCAGCAGATACAAAATTATTAACGAATAAGTTAGATAAAATTTATGATTCAGTTTTAGCACGCCTCGATCAAGAGATGAATGAAATACTATGTTCTACAGCTTATCAAAATGAACGTGAGAAGTGGAACGCTAACCCCCCTCTATTAACTACTGATAAGGCTATAATTTAAATATTAGTGCCAAAGCCGGTGGGAAGGAAAAATTTTAAATATTAGCCAAAAGCGATTGGTCATCAGATCTGAAACAAAGCAAACTACAAACCATGTTACTAATTGAAGACTCAATCCTGCAATCCTCAGCGTACTCATCGAATTATAGGATAGAAAATAAAACCAATTCTTACTTATTACACATGTATTCAAAATGTTCCAAAAGTTTATTTTTATAATGATAAAAATACAAGTTAGAAAATTGTGCAAATATCAAATTGGAAATGAGAATTTTAGATAGTATCCAAAAATGTGCATGTTGATAAGACTGGTCATCTGATCTGAAACAAATCAAAATATACATTAGTCACATCCAGTATTTATCTTAGTTTGTGGAAAATCATCTTAATATTACAGACTGTTACTTGGCCAATATAATGTTGAAGCAACTTTAATGATTTCAATAATGGAATCTCTTAATCAATAGTAAGACTCGAGGGGAAAAATGATACATAACATATAAATAAAAAAATGGTCATAAGGTAAGAGACCCAATATTAGGCTATGGACCGATACTCAATTACTTTATGTATTTTGTATAAAAAACTCTATGCATATAAATCTGCCTAATGTATTGTTCGGGGAAAAAGAACTGGAAGGCATCCCCATAATAATACGAATGTTTAGTTGGAATGTGTTTTTCATAAAATCCATAAGCATTTGTTCGTTTAAACTACAAATAAATCCTTGGGACAAAGAAGTGACCAAAATTGAGTAATGATCGAATCAATCCATGTCAAAAAAACTGGAAAAAAATGGTAAACTAGCTAAATCTTTTTATTTTTTCCACTGGGAAGTTAGTCGTGTGGACCTTTCGGGTCGCACCCAGACCATTGGAGAGCACTGATATTTAAATTCGTATTCAGTGTAGTCAAACCGAAATTGAAACGGGAACTTAGTTTCCGAAATGCCCTACAGGGGTAAAGCTTAAGATTGCATTAGTCCTTCAATTCGAATTGAAAGAAATGGAACAAATCTTAGGCTGTTCCTATGACACCTAAATAACAAATTCATTAGGCATAAGTTAGGAATGCCTTATTTAGGCTGATCTAAACAATTCCCAATAGGGGCCCACGATAAAATCTACTCGAGTCCATACATTTCGAACTGAATAGCGTCTGGGAAGTTTGTCCTGACTATCCATATATTTAGTATATCACACAAGCCGCGTTAATAGACATCAATGTTAGAGACGGTTTGGCAGGTCATTCGTCTGATCGATTTTTTCAGCGGTCACTGACCATTGCATAATAAAACTGCATAATTAATGATTCCTTTATTCGAAAAAATTGACATGATTTTCTAATCATAAAATTAAATATTATTTATAGTTTAAAATGACTAATAATGATAGAAACAAATACTTACTAAATCCTCACAACAAATCAAAGCTTTTTTTCAAGCTTCAAAAGTCTCCAAAGTATATTGAGCACTGTCGAGATGTATTAAGGCAAATAGGTCATTACTCTCGACCTACTGATGAAAGTTTGAGATGAATTGATACCTCCATTATGTTGAAGGAACAAGTTTCTTGCAAAGAATTTAATCATTAGTTTAATGCTATGTTATATCAGCTATTACTATTTACGGCATGTTCATCATAAAAAGATAATTTGTGGAGCATAAAATCAATGTTTATTCTACGCTAACATTCGGAAGCTTGGTTTTCAATCTTCTCCCAATCTTTAGAACAGGTTTTTGTACGTGGCTTCTATAACATACCTTTTGTATCTAATGACATAATCATGAACATGGACGTACAATAACAGAATAATATATACACTAACTATATATAGAAAGTGTCATAATATTTTATTAGTTCACTGAAATGTCGTCTTGAGAACAATGTCCCGTTGTATTGACCGCAGCAAATGACGTGGTCAGTAAGATATGTCCAACAAAGACCGATTGTAATGTCTTCTTATTTGAATGAACAAAAGCTATAAACTTCAGTTAATTATCTCGGGTGATATTTGGCCAATACCAACAGACCTCTAAGAGTTTATTTAGGTTTATGTCATTTCGTTAACTGGTCCCGTTGTTCGGAGTCTCGATCCATGACTAAGTATGATTAGACCTCATATCAGTAATAGGTATGTGGTAACCTTATAAATACAAATCAACCGTGTTTACAAAAGGGCAAACTAAAAGGTTATCTAGTTTGGGAATTTGCGTGTGTTAATAATTGTTCTATTATTATCACCATGGAGCATTGAGTTGATAACTATGTTTAAATGTAATAATTGGTAATTCCAATATTTTATTAGATTAATTAGGAGTAATTGAAATTCCCAATTAATTCGAAGCCCATTGTCATGATTAGAACTGCATAAAAGAAAATCATGGTAATAGGCACTTTGAGAGTAATCTTATCTATATCCTGACCCAATAAATAAATTAATTAATTTTAATTTGTGCTGTAGGCAGATATGAGTACATATGTTTACCCTGCTTAAACAATCCTATTGGGAGAAGAAAGTCTAATAGGAAAATTGCATCGGAAATTTCCTATTGAATCCTATTGAAGGTTTTTTTTTCCTATAGAAATTTACTGAATCCTATTCAATTGTCCCATTGAGGTACGCTGAATCCTATTCAATTTCCCAATAGGATTTAATGCTATTGAATGGGAAAATTGTTGTCTCAGAATTTCCTATAGAATAATGAAGAATCCTATTCAATTCTTCAATAGGATTTTAATAAATTTAATAGGACTTGTGAGATTACAATTTCCCCATTGAAAAGAGGCAATTCCTTTTCGATGTTTTAATAGGATTTGATATAATTCAATGGGAATATTGTTGTCTCAGAAGTTTCTATAAAATCAATAGGACTAAATATAATTTAATAGGTTTTTTAGATGTAACGAATTCCTATTCGATATGTAGAAATCCTTTTCAACTTTGCAATAGGATTGGACGATATTTATTGGGATTATAATGCCGTCGCAATTTCCTATCAAATAAAGCGTAAACCTATTGAACGTCTCAATAGGATCTTATTACCACAAAAAAAAATCAATTTCAGCGAAACGAAATTTTAATTCACTCTAGAGGTTTTTCATTTATACGGATTTTTAATAGAACTCATTTCTATATTCTTCTATTATTAAAATAATATGACATAGAAAATATTTCTTTACTATCGGATATTCTAATACGATTTTGAACATTTAAATAGGCCCAATATCTTTATGTTTCTATAGGATATAAATAGATTAAAAAACAAAATACGACTTAGTATTTTTTAGTGACAATATTCCTTAACAAGACTTAATATTTTTTTACACAGATGTTTTCTCTAAGTTTCTATAGGGAAATAAATAGATTAAAAAGAGAAATGTGACTTAGAGAATATTCTTTCATCGCGATACTCCCCATTAGAATTTCTCTATCCAATTAATACAATGCTGAGAACAAGAGAAAAGGTATAGACTACTAAATGTTAGAGGAGTTCAAACCTATTGAAGAATGCAGAATCCTATTGAGGTTTTTTAGATAACCAAAATAATTTCAAAGTCGTATTTCCCTATTCAATCACTTAGTTTCCTATTCAAATTTTTACCTTTAATTCCCATAGAAGCTCTTCGTTTCTTATAGAATTGCTAAATGTCTTTTAGAATTGGTATAATCCTATTCAGTTATGTGAATAGGAAAGTTCTGAATCCTATAGGTTTTACGACCACCATTTTTATACCTATTCACATTTGTATAATCCTATTAGACTTTTTCGGGTGGCAGAAATTTCTCAACTTTTCCTATTCAAATATGATGTTTCCTATTTAAATTCTGGAAAAGCCTATAGGTCCATTAAGCCTCTTAAGAGCTAAATGTCCTGATGTTCCGATTGTTGCCTTGACAGCTACTGCAGCAAAAGAGGTTTGAATTAAAACTCTATAGTTCAAAGTATCAAATTCTTTTTGTCATGAAAAATAAAATTTATATTTTCATGATTATAACAGGTTGTCGAGGATATATTTTCAAGTTTAAATATGAAAGATCCTTTAATATTTTCTGCACCAGTATTTCGAGAAAATTTATTCTATGACTTATGGTTTACAGATACAATAACAAAACCATTAGATCATTTATTAAATTTTATTATTGAAGCACTTGCTTCTTCAGACGACAGTTCTTTGCCGAAAAATAACAAAAATTGTGGAATTATTTATTGTCGTAAAAAAGAAAGTACTGAAGATATTGCAGAACGATTAAGTAAAGCAGGAGTTCCTACACGCCACTTCTCAAATTCTATCTAAATATCTTAACATCTATAACCGCCGACACCCTCTTTGTATTCCACTGATCTTGAAAAATAATTTGATCGTTAAAAATCGTTTTAAATTTTTTTGTTGAAAATCGTTTCAAAATTAACAAACGTAAACGGCACATACTTACAATCAGTTATCCGGGTCTATGGCGAGGTCGTAGCGCCGGGCCACAACATCTTTGGCATTCCTGCACCCGTATAGGTAGTAGTCAAAGAAGTAGGTGTTGATGGCTTCTTTGTCTAACCTAATTTCCTCTTGTTCTTCCGATGCTAGAGGCACCATCGAATTCATCGGGTCTCTTGACGGGATCCAAATGAAGCCTCTGCATGATGGGCTCGCGGCCGTCTTGGTTATAGTACACACGATTCCAGATTAATTCATGGTCACGACTCACAATGTTTAGTTTATTGAGTTCGTGTTTGAGCATTATCTTCCACTTTTCATGTCCATAATCGGCTTCAAATCTAAATTTTTGTTCATACACCTTTCTCATAGCCAACTCACATTCTATTGCAGCCCTTTTAACACATGTCACTTCTTCATTACCCCGAGTGGCCCAGGTAAAAAATGGGAAGGTCCGCACGAAATGGTAGTGATCATGCATTAATCGACGTATCTTTTCATGATAATTACAGAAACGGCCTTTTTTTGTTAAATTATCACACTCCAAATCCCGGTAAATGAATGCCTCGCACGGCCGTAAATTTTTTACGGTTAAGTCAGCCGAGAAATAATTAAATTTTTGCTGATTTTTCATCACAGTTTGTTCATCACAGCAAATATCAAACATTAGCCACATACACCGCACAATGTACTTTATAAATTTGAAAAAGGTGTTTATCACAAACTGAAACATTTTTGAATAGTTGCTTTATTGCTTTAAACTCTGTGAAAGCCTTTTCGCTACTAATGCTCTTTCATTAAATTAATCATCTAGAAAAAATTCACGATGTTCAGTGCGCTTCTTAAAAGATCATATGACCATGATGATAAGAGATGTGTTGATCGTCAACAAAAAATGCTGATGGTCATGCGTTTCTGTATATATCTCTTAAAACTTTTATAACATAAAAATAATAGTCGCTTCTGATTAGGGACTAATAATTATGGATCCTCGCTGGAAACATCCCTGGACTTCAATTATTTGTGGTCCTACAGGGTGCGGCAAAACTGTTTTTGTGAAAAGGTTCATTCGTACTATAAATCAAATGAGTGATACGCGCTTCTCAAAAATTATATTTCATTATGCTGAATGGCAAGAGAGTTATCATAACTATCCAAAATTTCTACCCCTTCAATTTAAAGAAGGACTACCATGTAGCGATGATTACACGTCCGATCACACGCCAAAATTAATTATCATTGACGATCTTATGCGCGAATCATCAAGTAGTGCAATTATTGACCTTTTTACGAAGGGCAGTCATCATCGTAATTTGAGTGTTATATTTATAACATAAAATTTATTTCATCAGGGAAAAGGCCAACGAGACATTTCTTTAAATGCTAACTATATTGTAATTTTTAAAAATCCCCGGGACCGCTCACAGATCCAACATCTGGCCCGGCAAGTGTGTCCAGAAAACACCCGCTTTTTCCAAGAAATATATTATGACGCAACAGCTCAACCGCATGGCTACTTATTGCTAGACTTGAAACAATCAACACCTGAAAATTGTCGTTTCCGCACATGTATTTTTCCAGAGGACCCGAAGCACTATGTTTATGTGCAGCGTAAACCTATAAATAAGAGCCCACATGCTCGTAATTTACCAGTTGTTAGTTAGTAATGGCTGCGAATGCATCACGAAAGAAACAAGCTGCAATTCTCAGTTCTTTATTTTATCTAAGCAAAGAACAACGTGCCGCTATATTACGGAAAGCTGATCCTCAACTAGTGCGCTATATATGTGAATGTGCCCTTAATATTTTACGGGGCAACGTGTCATTGACAGCTGATCAGAAACGTAAATTAAAGCGACACGCTTCTCTTTTACGGCGTCTAGCTTCACGTGGTAGTGCCAAGAGGAAGAAGAAAATCATTTTACAGAAAGGGGGTGGTTTTTTACCAGTTCTTTTGGCACCTATTCTCGGCAGCTTAATATCAAAGCTGATTAACGGCTGAAAATGAATCATGCTAAAAAAATGGTTTTAATACCTGAAGAGACTATAAAGAATTTTCAAGCAGCAGATACAAAATTATTAACAAATAAGTTAGATAAAATTTATGATTCAGTTTTAGCACGCCTCGATCAAGAGATGAATGAAATACTATGTTCTACAGCTTATCAAAATGAACGTGAGAAGTGGAACGCTAACCCCCCTCTATTAACTACTGATAAGGCTATAATTTAAATATTAGTGCCAAAGCCGGTGGGAAGGAAAAATTTTAAATATTAGCCAAAAGCGATTGGTCATCAGATCTGAAACAAAGCAAACTACAAACCATGTTACTAATTGAAGACTCAATCCTGCAATCCTCAGCGTACTCATCGAATTATAGGATAGAAAATAAAACCAATTCTTACTTATTACACATGTATTCAAAATGTTCCAAAAGTTTATTTTTATAATGATAAAAATACAAGTTAGAAAATTGTGCAAATATCAAATTGGAAATGAGAATTTTAGATAGTATCCAAAAATGTGCATGTTGATAAGACTGGTCATCTGATCTGAAACAAATCAAAATATACATTAGTCACATCCAGTATTTATCTTTAATAAATTAATCATCCAGAAAGAAATCACGACGTTCAGAGACCTTCTTAAAAGATCATATGACCATGATGATAAGACCTGTGTTGGGCGTCAACAGAAAGATGCTGATGATCATGCGTTTTTGTATCTATTTATAATTATGGATCCACGCTGGAAACATCCTTGGACTTCAATTATTTGTGGTCCTACACGGTGCGGTAAAAGTGTTTTCGTCAAAAGGTTTATTAGCACTATAAATCACATGAGTGATACACGCTTTTCAAAAATTATATTTCATTATGCTGAATGGCAAGAGAGTTATAATAATTATCCAAAATTTCTACCCCTTCAATTTAAAGAAGGACTACCATCTAGTGATGATTATACGTCCGATTACACTCCAAAATTAATTATCATTGATGATCTTATGCGTGAATCATCAAGTAGTACAATTATTGACCTTTTGTACGAAGGGCAGCCATCATCGTAATTTGAGCGTTATATTTATAACACAAAATTTATTTCATCAAGGAAAGGGACAACGAGACATTTCTTTAAATGCTAACTACATTGTGATTTTTAAAAACCCCCGTTACCGCTCACAGATCCAACATTTAGCCCGGCAAGTGTGTCCAGAAAACACCCGCTTCTTCCAAGAAATATATTATGACGCAACAGCTCAACCGCACGGTTACTTATTGCTAGACTTGAAACAATCAACACCTGAAAATTGTCGCTTCCGCACATGTATTTTTCCAGAGGACTCGAAGCACTATGTTTATGTGCAGCGTAAACCTATAAATAAGAGCCCCCATAATCACAATTTGTATTTAATACGTGGTTCAAAACTTTCTATAGTCGGCGAGTTTGTGCCTGAAAAGTTTAATTTAGTTTTACCGAGGTTTCTCTTCCGCTTAATATTTGAATGCACTTTGTTTGGTGTATTGGAGCAAATATGTAGCAGTTCATTTATTTTGAATTCGTTGCTTTTGATTGTATTTTGAAGCTTTTTATTTTAAATAACTAAATTCTCCACTTCAGTATGTGCACAACTTAGTTGAATTTTTAAATCATCTATTGTTTGCTTTAGTTCCCTTACTTCATCATAATTCAATGTTGATAAATCGGGCAAACTATTCATTCGGTAATCCTTAGTAGATAAAGGTGTTGAGTTATTATCTAAGTCAGGTAAGGATTCAAACGAATCACTCATTTCTGTAGTAACTCTTTTACTCAGTGTAACATTGTCTATTTCCATGTTCTTATATTGTAAAAACGTCTAAGTAGAAAATTAAAAATGAAAAGAATACGCTACTATGTTTGCTCAGGATTTGAACAAGTGACAGCTAACTATATGCAAACAATAAACTATGGGAACTTTGACTTATTTCCATCTCAAAAATCTGTAACTCCTGTGTTTATAAAGATATCATCATGTTTTTTTCTGATAATCTTGAATATATTTTCTTTTCAATAATTTATAATTTTTGTGTATAAAAGTTTATTTATAAAAGTTACAAAAAAACAGAAAAACAAAATATACGATTTTTAGACTTACATCTATGTTTTAATTAATTTATAAAGGTAACCAGTAAAAGAAACTGTTTAAAATTAAAAAAAGAAACATCGTCGTAGCTCAGATGTCACATATGAGATCACAAGAAGTTCTTAATATTTTTTATGGTTGAGGAATAAGAAAAAAAAGATGATGGCAACGCCATTACAGAATTGTGAAGATTAGTGATAAGTGACTGATTTTGTAATCTTAAATAATCTTAAAGCTAAAGTGTGCATAAGTAAACAAAGTAACTAAAAGAACATTATTGTTTTATTCATAACTCATTACAACAGCAATGCTTGTAATTTGGAAATTCTCAAAGGTCGAATTAACCTCGATTGTTTTTACCTTCAAATTCGAGGGTTGCTCCTTCAACAGGGCTCCAATAGCGGTAGCACTGATGTAACTCCCGTTGATGTAGTCTCCAGGTCTTTCTTCCTCTTGCAGAATCACGCGGCTGTGATCAAAGCATGGTGCGCTTGAGTATCTGTTTGTCTTCAAGTTTTCAACAGCCGTAGATGCATTGAACGTCCCTGGTATACTTCACGATCAGAAGGTCTAAGTAGCAAAACGTCCAACAGCACGCATAGATAGTAACGTGTTTCTTCAAGTAATAAGGTTTGGAATACACATTTTTTTCATTTATTAAAAACATTCAAAATATTACAATATAAAACATTTCGACTGGCCCTCGTTGAGTCATCTGCGGTGCCATTACTGGAAAATAAATTTTTTGTTAATCTTTAATTAATCTTTTTACAATTATTAAACTGTAAACAGCACATGCTTACAATCAGTTTTCAAGGTCTATTTGAAGGTCGTAGAGCTTGACTACAGCACCTTTATCACTACTATAGGTGCATAAGTGATAGTCAAAATAATATTTGTTGATTGCCACCCTGTCTAGGCCAATTTTCGACTCTTCTTCAGACGGTCCCCAGATAGAAATTTTATCAAAATTTTCGGGTACCTTGACAGGATCCAAATGAAGCTGCTGCATGATTGGTTCACGTCCGTCTTGACGGTAATATACACGACTCCAGCAGAATTCACGGTCACAACTCACAGCGTTCAATTTATAGAGTTCGTGTTTGAGCATTGTCTTCCACTGTTCATGGCCATAATCTGGTCTAAATCTAAATTTGTGTTCATACACCTCTCGCATCGCCAGCTCGCATTCAATAGCTGCAATTTTAACACTAGTTAAATCATCAGTACCTCGAATATCCCAAGTAAAAAATGGAAAATTTCGAACGAAATGATAGTGGTCAAGCGTTAATTTTCGTATTTTTTCATGATTTTCACAAAAACGGCCTTTTCTTGTTAAGTTATAACAACACTCTAGATCACGGTAAATAAATGCTTCACACTTATGTAAATTTTTTATAGCTAAGGTCTCCAAAAAATGATTAAACTCTTGCTGATATTTCATTACAGTTTGTTCATCACAGCAAATATCGAACATTACCCACATACACCGCACAATGTACTTTATAAATTTAAAAAAGTTATGTAATGTGTATTCCCCCGATATCATATCAATTTAATACACTCCCGGACACCTAAATCGAGCCACCTTGATTTTTTTGGTTTGGAGTACTGTAACTTATAAAGATGTATGTAGAAGGAAAATGTTTTGATGCAGTTTTGGAGCTCATCATTCATTTAGAGTGTCACGTTCTAAAGGAGAATGGGCAAAATCGTATGGCGCTTGGTCTATCAGCGGCCAGGAACAATTTTAATTTTTTTTGGTGTATTATCACCCTACAATCACCCTCAAGATGTTTTGTATCTGTGGTGTAATTATTAATAGAATTAAATACATTTTTATTTTAGATATGTCAGTCTGTGATTTAGCGTATTATAACTAAGGTTTAGCCTTAAAAATAAGGAAATAAAATAAAATGGCTTGTAGACTTCATTAAAAATACATTTACTACTATGATAAAACATCGCCAATAATAATAATGATAACGTCATCAGAACTCAGTGCTATTATTAAACATTAACACATTTCATGTACATGGGCTAGACATCAAGACAAGGATGCCGTTATCAGGACACACTGTACATTAATACATTTAATGTACAATAATAGCACTGAGTTCTGATGCCGGTAATAAAATATCCTCGTCTTGATGTCTAGCCCATGCCAGATACCACACTATACACATAACGTGTGCACAGCAACCGATTGTGCGCCTTCCACTTATACAACTGCAATAATAATGAGCAATTGCTTCTCTATTTTGTCTTTCTCGGTTAATTACAATATAAGAATAATATATTCTGGACCTCACATGTCTAGATTGTATTCGAACACGTAATAACCAAATGTCTTCTTCTTCAATAAAATCTCTGAGCTGACTTATTTGACGCTCTCGGTATACTTCAATATTGTACAAGCCTTCAAATAAGTGTTCAGCGTAGTAGCTGCGAGCCAACTTGATTTGGTATGTGCCAAGTGCAAACAGAATTAGGTCTTCTTCAGAAAAAACCGGGAAGTCTTCAAAAATAGGTTGATCACTGCTGAGTCTTTCAAATGATGCCCTCTGTCTATTTATGTTATGACGGATAACATAGTCCGCTAAAAGGTTTGGTATTTCAATGCGTTCATTAATTATATTCACGAACGACGATGCATAAATACTATCTTGTATTGGTGTCTGAAATGCATTGATGAGTGCCGCTGCGTTTTGGAAGTCCTGGAACATGTGACTTAAGGCGCGATTAAAATATTCTTGCCTAAACAGTTTAAAGTCTCGCTTGAACTTGCCATTTATAACTTCCACTACCCAGCGGCATAGAGTGACCAGCCTAGTTCTATTGGCCTGTTCAGTAGTAAGCTGGTCTGCACCGCGGTCTTTGGTTTCGGGCATATAGGCACTGTAGTTGAATCGCTGCAAATCGCCACAGACGTCTCTGAACCCACGATCTAAAATGAATATATCGCCAGCCCGGTAAAACCAGTGAAATGTGCCTTCTTCGTCATTTATTATTCTTTCCAAAATACTGGCATCTGAGTCGGTAGCAGCATAGGGCCCACAAACATCAATTATGTGCCCATCGGAACACACCATTAAAAACGGTTTCAATAGATTCTCGTATTTGTGTAGACTGTAGGTCTCTCGCTGGAACGAAAAGTTGGAGCTCTTCTGAATGTAAATATATGTTCCATCCATGATTGTTATTGCCTTCCTATCTTCTGGAGACGACTCGGGATTTCCAAATAACGCGTTTGGTACAATAAGATTGCGGTCAGCGACCGTTCTTCTATTTAAATGGTCAAGTCCAAGGTGTCTTGGCTTAAAATCCAGAGATATAGCATCACGTGCGGTTTTTAAATGCCTTTCTAGAGTCCTTCTACTTATGTTAAAGAGCGTGGCTAATCTCTCGTTGCTATCACCAGTTCGCAACTTCATTAAATAAATGGCTAGTTTCGTTTTGGCGTTTGACTCAGACAAAGAAGGCGTTTGTTCCAAGATTGAATGGAATTGATCTCTGCTAACGCCCAATCGAATATGAATCTCATTAGTATCCATATTTTCGATATCTTCAAAGTCCAGAATATTTTTTTTTAAAACAGCTGTTTTCAAAAGCTCTAGTATTTGCACAAAATGAGTGCTGTTAAAATCATGTCTGAGATTTGGACTATCAATGAGCTCCTCCCAATCATTCGATGTTAAATGTGCATCGCATATTCTGGCACTGTCTGGTATGAATAAGTTAGAATGTAACAGAAGAGTAATCCTTACATTCTCAGGCATTCGACGACGTGACACACTACGGCATCTGTCAAACACACAATTCGCTGAGGTGCTAGGCACTCGTGAATATTCTTCCACTTGAAGAACACAGTCGTGCGGGGCAGGGTAATTGTTTGGCTGCACAGCCCGTTGAGCTCGTTGCCAACATGGTCGACAAATGTATTCTCGGCCGTTGTATTCAACCTGAAAAGGAAAATAGTTTATAACATAGTAGTTTCGGTCTAATCATGTTTTGTATAGTGAAGAACATGCCGAGCTCTTTTTCCACGTGACAAATGAGTAATAATAATAATAATATTTCAGACATGTCACTCTGGGCCACACAGAGTTATCTAGTCCCAAACTAAGCTCGAAGCTTGTACTATGGGTACTAGACTACCGATAAACATACTTATATACTTTTTTTTTTGTAAATAAATACTTATTATACATAGAAAACACCCAGACCAGTACGAATAGACATGTTCATGCACACAAATATTTGTACCGTGCGGGGATCGAGCCCGCGACCTTTTGGTTCAGAAGCGCGCTGCGAACCACTGAACCAAGCGGTCGTCAAGTCATGAGTCATGCTCATACGCATTGTTAGTGAGTTTGGCCTCTATTATGTCTCGAAGCTAGATAACGCTGGCTTTGTTTTCATAAGCGCCATGTGTGAGAAAGAGAGAGAAGATCTGTTTTGATTATGACTTAACTATTCTTAGAAAAGAACCCATGTGCTCATCGTGACAGATGATTAGGCCATCACCCCTATAAGGTGGGCACACATGGGTAAAAACAACCAAAAAATAAAGTCTAAAAATACTTACTTGCTGTGGAGCTATAGCTTCAATAATATATTGAGCATTGGCAGCATTTTCCTCAAAAAGAGCATGGGTTATTTCTAATCTTCTTCTGTTAACCACTGATCGATTGCACAAAACACATATAGGTCGATTTTCTGCCATTTTTCAATCAATGTTCCGTTGGCGTACACCAGTCCAGAGTCCAAGTACACAAGCACAAATGAACAGAAGTTCAGAGTTAATAGCCAGGTTATCAGGTTAAGAAGAAACAGTGTCCATAAGGTAGCCAAGGTCAAAATGTTTGAAAAAGAATCCGTAGATGATCGCACAGTACACAACGTCACAAGGGTAAGCGAAGGACTGCACGGAGTAGCGCAAGCGCACCCCACGCCTCGGCTCTTTTGTTTCCACTCAACACTGATTGGTCCGTTCGAACTCAGGTAGTAAACTCGTTTTTGGGTTGAGTCTTGTAACCGGTATGCTGACGTTTAGAAATACTTTTTAATGTATTTTATAAAAATGAGTTTGCACATTTTCTTACATTTATTATTTAAGTATTTTAACCTATATGTATTTTTTTTCTAAATGAGCTGCAATGTTACGTTCA